ATGCAAGTAATGTGGATCGATTAATTAAATTGGATATACAACTACTCGGATCATCCGAATGATTCGATTAATTAAATCGGATATGCAACTAATCGGATCATCCGGATGATTCGATTAATTAAATTAACCGGATCATCCTTACTTAACCGGATCAAATCGATTTTATTTGATTATGAATGACTGAATAATCGATTAGCAAAAAAATGACCAATTCGTACCACTAAGCCCAACATGTTCGATTTAATGAGAGTGATAGTGCCCCGGTTTATCGAGAATAACTATGTATTTAAGGAGTTTTAAAAATCTCAAACTACCATTTTTATGCTATAAGAAACATTTTGTTTAAGTACCAATAGTTAGTGTGAAAATTAATAAAGATGGTCAATAAATGAAGATTAAGTAGCTCGGGTAAATTACGTAGTATGTTATGCCAATATCTATAAATTCAGAGCCCTACGTTTGGATTTAGTTTTATTGCAACGGTATTAATAGGCTGGGATCCCGCATTCACTCTAAGTAGAACTTAAAATATATATTTAACCTCCCCATAGCTTTTTTTAGGCGGCTTATTCTTGTAAACATAAAAACGCAACTTTCTTGTTTTTTAATTTATATTAGTATATCGATATTTTATTAACATTTTGAATTTTGAAAATTATATCTACATTACATTTTATAAGATTTTTATTATGCACCACCATTCTCTTCTTTTTGATTTTTTGGTTCTAATGAAATTGTTTCTCCGATTAACCCAACCAGAGTCTCACGTTTGTTTATATTACAACGAATAATCCCTTGATAAAGCCTTCCTACAACTGTAGTGAGCAGACTAACTCCTGCAGAAATAAGTGCAATTGTAGGAAGCACGTTGTATGTTATATTTTTTCTCCAATATATTACCTAAATAATGTTAAGCGAGTATAAATAAAGTAACTTGTATAAAATAGCAAAAAAAATAATAAATACAAACCCTAATAATAAACTGCGGCAAATCTTCAATAAGCAAATTCAAACAAACTGCACGGAAAATCATTAGTTCAGCCCGATTAGAATAGACCGCTGAAAAAATCATTAGCCCGCCAACTCGAGATGACAACACGTTAAGAATATCGACGTCGGCACACGCGGCCAAGGTAAACACAGCGGCTACCTGTGGATACTTTCGAAACCAGTCGTTGAATTTATCTTCGCGTGAGTTCTCTGACAATAATATGAAGGATGCCATTACAGTGTTGAATATAATTGGAATTATGAAAGTGAGAACACTATCGAAAAATAAAAAATATTGGGTTAGGTGAATTCATCAAATCGTATTTGTTAGACATTGATTTGCAAGTTTGTTTCTACCAGGGTAAAAATAAGTCATCAAAGTCTCTCCCATTTTTGATGACGAAAAGCACATCAAAAAAGAAATCTTGAACTATCAATGCCACAGTGATAATAACAAAATTTCTAGCCTATGGAAGGAGGAAAACTTTTTAGTGAAAGTGAAGCAGATAGATAAAAAAAAATACTGATGCAGATAAAATACATACATTTTTATTTCGATAAACAGCATATAAATAAATGGTTATAACAGCACAGAAAATTGTACCCCCAATGATAATCGTCGTTTTATACCTTGACCACAAATTTGCTATATAACGATAAAAAGATTTAATATCACCTAAATTCATTGATGAATAAAGAGAATTCATATACCTGTAATCTGGAAATTATAAGTATTATCGAGCCATGAAGTATAATTTTCTCGAGACAGCTGCGTGTATTTCATATTTTCGAGTAATATAGTAAAATCTTCGATGATTTGCGGAACATCTTGCTCATTATTACTAGCATTGTGTGTAATGTCCATTCTCAAAAGAACTCTGGGCGGTGTATTTTGATCATATTGATAAGCGTCGCGAATGTGTATTTGATTCGGAGAAACAGGAATTATCGATGCTATTTGGTTAGCGAGATTGTTCATTATAGAATAGCCGTAACTTTTGTAAGCTTTGACGAATTCGGCCGAACCATTGACATGTAAGCGGATGAGACCACTTACTGGTTCTAAAGCAAATAACAAAAATTATGAAAAAGGAATTCCGAAAAAGCATATCGATATCAAAATATGAATTACCTGTACGTGAAATCTGCTTATATGGACCTAAAGAAATGAAAAATCAATTTCAAGTTCTTTACAGAAGAACACAGAGAAAGTTGTGTAAGCAAAGATACCTGTCTTAAAAGTCCAAATATTTGGTTCTATACCATAAATTGGCTCTTTATTTTCCGAAAGTTGTACAAAATTCGCACCAACCTCAACATAATATGTAGCACTTGGGACATTAAAGGTACTTCTAATTGCGGTGATTAATACTTTAGTATATCCAGAATCTGGCAAATATTCAATGACTTCATATGAAGTCTGTTCACGAAGTAGATCGCCATTTGGAAGTTTTTGATAAATTGACGTATTCCCCGAGCCAAAAACTACTTTAGAATTATAGGTAATAGATAATGAGGTTGCGTGTAATTCGATTACTTCGTCAATAGTTGGCGTAGTTGAATTGATATTAGGATTTGAGTAACGTTCATCTAAATAAAAAAAACGAATTATAAATAACGATAATAATTTCAGCATACGTTATAGTTTAAACATCAATCTCTTACCATAGTGTTTTAATGGTGGAAGTGGAATTGCACCCACTCTCCAGGTTTTAGTATCATTACGATCGATGTTTGCATAAAACAAACTGTTATTATTAGGAAAGTTATTCACTTTATAATAATTGTCATCACCGATGTTGATAGTTTCGATAATAGAACCGGATGTATTGTAAAAATTTCCGATAAGAGTTGCTTGATCTCCTTGATATAAAACTCCAATCACCACATAACCACCAGCAAACACATTATAGAATGTGTCTATCTCGAAATTAGTTTGATTGTAATTCCGCAATTTTCGAATTGAGGTCACCGATCCTTGTGAGAGAAAATGTACGCTATAAATCAGTGGCAATAATCCAGTCAATTGAAATTTGAGAAAACATGCGAAGCCAGTGCCATCATACGCCCGACGACAAGTGCCAACTTTAACCGTTTCCCACGGTATGGAAGTTTGATAAAGGATAAATAGTTGTGATGGTGTGTTTACTGTATCCCACAAGAAAGTCACGTATGCCGTCCAAGTAGTTTCATCCAACATTCGAGTTTGAATTGAAGTATTTGTTGCTCGAATCGTTTGATTGGTTACAATAGCACATCCATATCCGCCGTCGATCAAAGAGAAAGCGTTAAAGCGAAAAACAATTTCTTGAGGAGTTGGAGCAAAAAGAATTCCTTCTCCCAATTTATATATAGTTCTTTGTTCGTCACTAGAAAATTATTCGCATTTTTTCTTAAAGTTAAAAATTCTACGATAGCAATTAAAAAAGGAAATCTTACGGTGAAGTGAATTTCGTCCACGTTATTGTGCCATTCGGCCAAATGAATGTTCTCATAAAACCACCTTTTGGATCTAAGCTAACTGTAATCGTTTCATTTAGGGGCGTACCTCGTCCCAAAGAGAATGTGCTAACATTAAAAAACACGTCAATAAATATATATATTATAAGTCGAATCCAAATTATATAGGAATCAACTACCTTACTATTTCGCCTGTATAAGAAAGAACAACTCCCGTTTCATCATACGATTTAGAACGTAAAGGAATTTGATCGTCAAAATTATAAAAGGTAAAAATAATATAATTTGGCTCCAAAAGATAAAAATACAGATAATCATCCGGGCAAAAATTGGGTGGAAGAATATTTAACGTGTTTTTGGGAAGATCGATTTTGTGGACTTCGCCAGTTGAAAGAATTACTCGAAGATGTATGCGCGGTTCATCGGTATAGTTACAAGCATCGAGAGTATTACCTCTTATCAGTCGTAAGAGTATTGTCCCTTTTCTATCTATAATACTGGTAAACACTATCATTCCATCAAGGTCTTCGGTGAATGAGACATTAAATGTTGCATGAGATTCTGGAAGATTCGTTAGGAGCAATTCAAGAATAATTGAAAGAATTACGAAAATTGTTTTGAAATTAAAGCGAATTTTGTGCATAATCATTATTTTGGATTCTAATAAAAAAAAAAAATAGAAACACGGTAAAACCTTTTATAAGCAAATAATATGTAAAAACTTAATATTTTTTTCCTTTTTTATCGAAGTGCATCTCTTTTGGTTACAACGATATTTTTCAGAAGACATGCATGAGCTAAATGGAATTGTGCAGCTTTGAAAGCAAAGTTACGTATTCATAGCGATAGCACTAAACGTTATATTAAAGAACACGTGCAAAGATGAAAAATTTTCCCTTAATCGGAAAAAAATGAAGATTTTAATAATTTTATTTACTATCCAAAAAAAAACCAGGTCAAAATAAGAGTGGCGTAATTACGTTTTTCTTAAAATGGAAAATCACACAGAAACGTGTTGACTTATAGATCTGACACCCATTCATTTGCATTCTTGTGCATTCTTGTGCATTCTTGTGCATCTTGTGTATCTTTAGTGCGAAAAAACTATATACATGTACGTATTTATTTTGGTAATAGACGAATAGATTACGTAAAGAAGAAAACTATGGATTTATTCCTTCTCCTTACGTGTTTCAATTTGATTTATCAAAGTATTACAAAAAATGTATATTAATAGAAAATCATCGAAATCTGCATGCTATTACATTGCATAGGCGACGCGCGTTCACTTTCTTTATATTTATATGCAGATGATATTTTTTGAATTTCTCACACTTTCTCACCCATGTCCTCGAATTATTATCACATTTTCCTATTATAGCCAAAAGGTTCGAGTCCTTAATAAAAAATCGGCTTATCCAGGTGTACTATGTATATTTAATTCTGCATAAGAGAAAAGCACAATTACATAAATACTTTCCACAGAGAAATCAGGATAAGTTGTGCGTTAAGGATTTTTTATTTATCTATTGTACATGTCTACGGTTATCGCTAATCTCCATTAAGCAGAAAATTATGTTATTATAACAGATTGATATCATAATGAACTAACCGTTCATATAGAAGTTGATTGAGTGCAAAAAATGTGTAATAATGATTCAGTATAATCCCATTAATAATATATGGTTCTCTTTTTTATACTTCGACATTCTTGTTTAGGCCTAGTGTGTTTCCAGCCGTATCTACTACATTTGCTGCAGCGTTTCCGAGACATAATGCTCTTTTACAATAACCTCCACGCGGTCCACGAAAACCCTGGTAGTCGTTTTGTCTAAAAATACAAAAAAGACACAAATTTGTTGATTTATTTAATATGTAATAAAAGTATAGAAAAAGAGGTTTACCTTTTTCGTATAGAAGGTATCGGACTAATTGGAGCTGCCGTAGATTCATTTAAAAGTGCAATAAACAGAAATAATAAAAGTAAACCTTTTGTGGCATGAGTAATGTGCATTTTGAAAAATTTAAGATAATCGAACTTAAAAAAAAAATAAATTTTTGTTATTATCGAAAATTTCTAGGAGAGAATATTAATGAACTGCCCAAAGATTTATAGAGAATGTTTTGCTTGGCGTAATCTATGAAATATTTGTGCAACTAAAATATATTGCCGTAACTTATTATTTCTATCGCTATGATTTGCTTCATGCAAGGAAACGCAGTGAAACTTTTAAATGCATAAATGCAGTATTCAACTACATGTACTAATACAAAAAGGAAAGATTTAATTAATAGAAAAACTTATCGTTATCGTTATGCAAATTAAAAATAGAGATTAAAATTCGCGCGAAGTAACGGTAACCTCTAAAAATAATTACAAAGCAAATAATTACAAAGATACTGTATACAACTTTTCTTGTTACTATTATTTCATCGTATCTGGAAAAATAGATTTTCTATTTCTCTACTATTTAAGGAAATCAATATGCAGGGTATTTAGGCTGGGTTTGATCATAAAATATTTGCTGAAAATAGGGTATAGAAAAATTATAGAGCCGAAACTTAGTTTCTACTGTATCAATCCGTTTAGGCAACCAACAGATTATAATTCATGTTACATAAGCTTTTATGTAATACTTGTCATACACTAATCTTCCGGATGAAAATATCTCATTCAGAAGTTAATTATGTGAATAGTTTTTTTTCTGTATTTATTATCGAATGCATGCATAATTAAAATCGAAATCTGCAATTTTAATTTTAAGGTTAACGTTAATTCACGCATAATGCAATACAATGTCCTATTAATGTTCCTAATTACGAAAATTAGATCTTCCAACCGACATACTAGAAAAACTAGAAGTACTGCTGACACCACCACCACTACTACTAACAGCATCATACAAAGTTTGCGTCAATTCCCCAGCCACTTGATCCAATTGTCGTTGTACTTCGTTTGCTTCATCATTCGCACCACGTTCTCTTAAATATTTCTCACGTTTCGTTAAAAAATCGACCAATTTCTCGAGATTTTCGACCACTTCTTGTCGATTTTGCCGTTTACGAATTCGTTCCCAGTCGTCCGTTTCCTCACGTTTTCGCTTTAAATGATTGAATTCGAATTCCATTGCTTCACGTTCATGACTTGGTGTGCTAACTAGATGATGATGAGGATGATGTGTAGTTGTGACGGGAATTGTTGTTTGTCGAACAGCCACGTCAAATGAGTTCGAGCCGTCGGTTAAATTCGAGCCATCGGTTACAGAAAAAATGGTGAAATCTTTGTTTGGCGTTATGTGCCATGTGTTTGGATATGATTTTACTACTGTTTTTGTTTCTCGTATATCAATCAATAGAAACGATTTTATTGGGATCGAAGAATAAGTGCCGCCTTCAAATAAAAAAAAACCTATTCAGAAGATAGAATAATATGCAGATTAAATTGATCTAAAGAATAATAATAATAATAAATACCGTCTTGAAATCGTTCATGATGTCGCTTCAAGTCACTCCCATCGATAAGTAGCTCAATCGCCCATTGCGGCTCAGAAATATAAAAATCAACAGCACCATCAACCGCAAATATTTTGCCAACATCCGGAGAAATATGCATATCATCAGGTAAACAACTGTAAATTGCGCGATAAAATTCCATTTGCCAAACACGTTCAAGCAGTCGAACACCATCTTTTGATCGACAAAAGCTATGTGTCAAAGCTTGTGAATTAAGACGCGCCAATGCTTCACGCACTAAATCTTGCAACGTAAACCCTTCTTCAAGTGGATTTTTCGTGGAGACACATCGATGAAAAAAAGACAATAGACGCGCAACTGGTGAGACGAAACCAACTCGTCCTTCTCGTAATATAAACTCCGGTCCTTTATCATCAATATAAAACAGGACTCCAGCCTTCAATAATGCCGTCACTGCGGGATTTGGACCTGTCGAATGGATACGAAGTTCGTCCTTGAGTAATAATTTATCTATTACTTCGCCTTCTTCCTTGTTGAATTTGTAAAGTGGCGCACCACGATGTGCTTTCACATGTTCTATGAAATCGGGCGAAGTGAAATATGACATTATCTCGCTATCTGTGGTTGTCTTGTAATTTGTACCACGATAAGAGAAATAATTATCGATTCCATTCAATATCCAACGAATTAATCCCAAGTGACCTGCCGTAAAGTCCATAATGTGTCTTGCAATCTTTTTACTAACAAAAATTTTTTTTTTTGCATTGAAATTATTAAACGCGTCAACGAGTTCAATTAATTCCGACTCCGTACACCGAACTAATCCGAATCCGTATTTTTGTTGAAAATCTACCGGACTTTGTGCTAATGTTGCTAATCTTCCACCAGTTGAAAAAGCGATTACTTTTATTGTGTCTCGACCTAATGATCCTTGGCGACATAAAGATTTAATACGAAGCCAAAATGCTTCATATTGTTGCCCATCAAATATGTGATGAGTTTCGTCAAGAATTATTACTCGTTCTCCATGTTTCGGATTTAACCAATATTTCCAGCTTTTTCCCGTTTCATTCACCCAAAATTCTTCAAATGGTAAATCTTCTACACCCAGGAAACATACTTGAATTACAGGGATTCCCCTCTTTCGATAGTATTCTTCTAACAAAATACAAAGTGCTGTTTTCCCGGTAAATGGTGGGGCACGTATTAAAATAACGCGTTCCTGTTCAACAAATTGGTCAATTCTTTTGACTGTTTCTTCACGACGTGTAATCCAATTCTCTGTATTTAAACTAATTCCTTCATTTTCAATTGATGGCATATTGTTGCCTTCTGAAAGAGAAACGAACGAGCTGTTTCTACTTATTTGATTATTTAAGGGATGACTAACTACTGTGACGTGTTCGCCTTCTTGGAAATCGCTGTTTTCGCAATTGACGTCGTCGCCGTCAGAATAATCGTCAAAGAAATCTGGAGTGTTTGTTGTTGATAATTTTGTCGATTCGCGAGAAGATAATGTAAGTTGGGAGATTTCTAGTTGATGATTAATAAGTCCGATAGTATCGTTTAGGTTATTGATTTCGCTATTGTTTCTGTCAATGTTGTTGTTGTTGTATCTTAGATTGAAAAATCTTTCCAATTCATTACTCATTGTGAGTGTACAAAGAAAAAAAAGTGATAAATAAATGATAATATATTTCGTTTGATTTTACACGAAAGATCGAGGAGTTTTCTACTCAATCCAAAAGACAATGGTATTTGTTAACTGTAGCAATGATTTTGCTTTAGACTATTTTTCTGAACATGTTAACAGAAGCACGTGGTAGGAGTTGTTTTACCTTTTGTTCTAGTTATTTGACAACAACAACTACTACTACAACAACCACAACCACAAATAGGATACACTAATTAAACGAAAAAGTAGAATCTGGAAAAAACTTGATTTTCAATTCGAAGGAAAACAAGTGGTGGATATTATTGTATAATTAAAAACTTAACAGTATTGAATTGAATATTGGAACATACCAAGTTATATACAATTGAAAATCAATTATAATTATTATTACTGTGTGCTGTAGAGAGTGTGACTCTTAATATATCTTTGCATTTTCAATATTTAAATTGGAATGCTTCGAATCGTTTCTTCCTTTGCATGTTTTAATGTAATCAAAATTGTTCTTTCACGTTACGGAAAGAACAATTAATTATTGTATCATCATCATCATCATTGCGAGAACGATCAAAGCTCGTCGATTCCCTTGATCAAAGCGTCCTGGATGCTTTGGGAGTAAATTTTCTGTCCGTATTAAAATGATTCATCAAGATATTCTTATTATTATTATGTAGGGTATTTTTTAACAATGATTTGATGAATATGCATACATGCATAAAGGTTAATTTTGCATGTGCTAAATATTGATCAAAAAATTACCAATGACTTGATGCCAAAAGAATTTCGTGTTATATGTAATTTTCTGAATTTGATAAATTTTCGAGCAAATTCCCGATTTTTCATTTTATGGAAATTAATTTAAAAAGGCAACATTTGGAGTGGAGTCAGTAGAAAGGGACAAACTACTCTGATATATTTGTCCCTTTTCTACTGGCTTCACCCCATTTGTTGTAAAAGAAAAACAGTATGAAAAGAAAAAATATCCTATGTAAATTATAAGCTAATAAAAATATATATATTAAGCCATTTATTAAAAAAAATTTACGTCAAAAATTTGGTTTTAGCTTGTTCGATTGAAATTGGTTTACAGAGCTCATTGATAACTCTGACAAAAAAGTAAGGAATCCAATTTCGATTGGGTGCTTAAAGATGCTCCCCAACTTCTATAGCGAAAATACAGGCAAGGAAAAAATTAAATGCCGCAGTTAATTTCGACATCTATGTAAAATTACGGCTGCAAAAAATAATTTGACAGCTTATATACTGTTAAATTAACGCCCGAACTGATTTGAAAAAAATCAAGGATGGGTTTGGCCAGATTTCAATCCCGCTGGGCTAAGTAGATACTATACTATCAACATTGGTAGGAAAACATCTATTTGATGATTTATGTTTCAAAAAAACGGCGACAATAAAAAATCGTATTCATGTGAATGAGAGATTGCTATTAAATGTAAAGATTTCAACGAGATTTTATCGTCGTTTTCCTCCAGAACAGGTTCACATCTGTCTTTAATGGATGTGACCAAATTATTCATTGTCGCCTGAGGAATTGCTATTTCTTGGCCAAAAATTGTGTCGGATCATTGATGTCTTGGCATTCTCAACATTATTCTTCATAATATATTTTCGATGGATTGATGTCTGGAATGTTGTACGACATGAACTCTCGTTCTTAACAAGTTTTTGTGTTGTAATGCGTAAAATGATCCATCCATTGTACATGTACTCATAAATAAAAAAATTACGTTTTTCCCTTTCGCGAGATGTCCGACCACCGTTTTTTCGAAACACCCCGTAATTCGTAATTCGGGGTGATATCTGACTACGTACATATGTGATTACAGTCGAAGTACGTATGTGTACACCTTGTAATGAATCGGAATGTGTTTTTGGCACTATGGTGACATGGCACAACCCCATTTTTAATAACAATTGAAAATTAAGGTTAGGGTTAAGGTCACCTAAAGAGTTCAGGGTTATCTTTTTTATCCCCACGTTATTCATAAATAGGGAGCATGGTGTCATAATAACATTCCAATATTTCTATTAAATTGTGACAAGGAAAGTAACATAAACAAAAAAAAGCGGAGAGATTTGACTTTATTTGACAGAACGAAATTTGAAAAAAGTAAATTTCGTTTTATCATTCAATTCGACAATTCATACTATGTAAATTCGTTAGTATCGAAAATGTAAAATGACCTTAGAAAATACATGTAAACCAAATTACAGTCAACTCTCCCTAATGCAACCTCCATAAGTGCACGCACTATGTACACACACTATGTACATACACTCTAAATGCACGCTCTGGCTTTAAATATACTACTATCGTTATTCCCAAATGCAATTTTCTCCAGATGCATATCCATGTCTGATTAGTCATATGGTCCCGGCAAATTTAAGGAGAGTTGACTGTATTGGATATAATCATTACGAATGTGGACGAAGCTATTCTTTTATTTATTTAATGACCATAATTTATTGTTCACGACTGAATATTTACGTTGAAATTTGCCGCAGACTATATTAACAAAGCATTTTTCATTATCGTTATGAACAGGACAGGTTAATTTAAAATTTAAGGTATTAATTTAGCACAAGAAATTTTACTGTGAATCTTGTTTTATTTATTCTACAGGGTTTTACATGTACAGTACTAAAAATAATCAAGGTTTAAATTTTTCGTGTAAAAAAATTCTTGTTCGTTAACGAAACATTACCCAACCCATACACAAACATGTACGTAGATGTATACATAATGCAGAAAAGTTAGAACATATCGATATCGATCTAGAACATCCAATTGAGCAAACTCAATTGAACATCGTGCTTAACAACACAAGACGTGATTTTTTTGCGAAACACTGATATTGAGATTTGCTCTCTTCTGTGAAGAATGTCTAAAAAGCATTTTCACTTAAAATTGCTGATTTAACTATTATAGCATATGAATCTTCTTAACTATTACGTATACGTATGGTGCATAACATTTAAACTCATAAATAGTAATAGTACATGTACAGTCCCCGGCGAAAGTAATGGTAATCAGTTTTTTTTATTATATTTCATTAAATCGTATCCCTTAATCTGTAGGCTATTTCCAGGAAAATTTGCCTGTAAACATTTTTTTGTATTTTTAAAATATTTTTATGGTCTGGTGCAAAAATGTAAATACACCAAATTGCTATTAATAAAAAAATTTACATTAAATTTTAATTTTTTTATCAAATATATCTAGTTTATAATTAATATATTTATATAATTTTTTTATTATATATAAACAAAAATAAAAAAGTTTATTAATCAACAACTTTTGAATTTGATTAATTTGATTTTTTTATATAGCAATTTATAGTCATCTTTTATAAATTTTATATAATAAAAAATCAAATTTTAAACTTTGAAACTTAATTTCTCAACAACTAGTAATTCAATTTTGCTAAAAATTTAAAATATATATATTCATATAGTAGCAATAAAAAAAATGGGACACTAAAACAAATTTATTAATAAAACATAATAAAAATACAAAAAATACAGGTTTTTTTCTTTATATTAAAGTCTTTAATTTTATTAATAAATATTTTTTATTTTTATATCAAAATAAAAATAATATTACATATTTTAACATATTTTTTTTAAATTTTTTAGATTTAATTTGATAAAATATTTTAGTTGCATATAAAATCAATTATTTTTATAATAAAATATATAAAAAATAATTAATTTTATATATAATTAGAGCAACTTTATCAAATTAAATCTAAAAAATCTGAAAAAATATATATTAAAATATTTTTATTTTAATATAAAAATAAAAAATATTTATTAATAAAATTGAAAACTTTTATATTGTTACAAATTTGTTCACTAATTATTAAATTAGCTTACAAACTTGAATCTGAATTGGGAAAAAGTAATAAACTGATAAAAATATTAAAAGAAAAGAAGAAATATCTAAGATCTATATCAATTTCTACAGAAATTATATTTACTAAAAGAATAATAATATGAAAGAGTAAAGATCAAAGAGAAAAAGAGAGTATAAAAGAATAATAAAAGAATAGTAAAAGAAATTTAAAAGACTAATTCTCTGTACTTATTAAGGTTGCTTGCCGAAATCCTTTCAGAAAAATATCGTCATAGTTTCGACGGGTTACACACTATTT